TCTGAAGGCTTGGCTGGGGCCGAAGGACCCACTTCCAAAGCGGCTCACTCCCATGGCTGGTAAGAGGTCTCAGTTCCTCCCCTGTGGCCTGTCCATAGAGTTGCTTGAGTGGCCTCACGAGCTGGCATCTGACGAGTGACCCAAGAGAGAGCCAGTGTGTCTTTAGAAGCCACACTCTGTGATTTCTAAAGGATCCTTTGAGGCCATTTTGGAGTCCAGCCACCATGGAATTTAAAACCGTGAACTCGGATGAGATCGTCTAGGAAATGAGTGGAGATAGAGAAGCGATTCGCGGCCTGAGCCCTGGGCCACTCTGACACTCAGAGGCCAGGAATTGAAGAGGACTCAGCAAAGAGACTGGAAAGAAGCAGCCACAGCAGCAAAGGAAACAGGGCGGGGTGGGGTCCAAGCCAAGTGACCAAAGTACTTGAAGAGGACAGGGCGATGGGCTGTGACCAAGGCGGCTGCCAGGCCAAGTAAGAGGAGAGGACGGAAGTGACCAGTAGGTTCAGCAACTTGGAGCAGAGTTGACTTTTCAAGAGCAGTTTTAGTGGAGTGGTGGGTAAAGCCCCAACTGGCGTGACTTCAAGAGAGAATGAAAGAGAGGAATTGGGGACAAACGTGGATGACCCTTCAGGAGTTTCACCATAAAAAGGGACAGAAAATTGAGATGGTTACTGGAGGAGCAGGCGGAATTGAGGGATTTGGAAAAGATGGTGTTAAATGCCATAGATGGGTGCTTTAGAGGGATGGCGATGACCCACTGAAGGCAATGATCCTTCTGCCGGGGCCTCATCGCTGGGTAGTGCGGGGGTGGGCTCTGGTGCTCCGGGCAGAGGCTGGCCATAGACAGGGGACGCAGGCCGTTTATCCGCGGTGGCAGGAGAGAGGGCGGAGGAGATGCGCCGGGGTGAGTAGCTCTAGCGATGAAGTTCCCTCTGATTTTCGCAGTGAAGTTGGAAGCGCAGTCATTGGCTACGAGTGAAGATGTAGGAGACTGTGTTGGAGGCTTGAAAAGAGAGGAGAGGGTGTGGCGTGGCCATCTAGGAGCGAAGCGAGGCGAGTGGACCGGGGAAAGATAATAAGATTGCCGGGCAGCGCTGAAGCCCTGCTTGAGGTTTCGGATCATGAATTCAAAGCAAGATCAGCGAGGTCGTGTGACTCTGCAGGCACGTTCAGGGTCAGGGTGAAGGTGCAGAGTGGGTGCTGGGTTGGATATAACCAGGTCGGAGTTTTACCCAGTGAATGCGACCAAAGCAGAGAGCGTTAGGTGGGGTGAGAAGGTTTGCAAGAGACTGAGCCTGGGCAAGGAGGCAGGTGAGCCACGTGGGAGGTGAGGGGGAGTGGAAAGGAGCTAGCACCGACGGACTGGTGGTCTTGGAGAGACGGAAGAACTCGGAGTCAGCTTGATCATGGGAGTGAGATGGGAAGATGAAGGGAAGTCACAGGCATTAGCTACCTTAAGTGATTTCCATCAACACCCACAATCCAAAATGTCCAGGGAGGGGCCACCCACCCACCCAGCCAGCCAAGATGGGGGAAAGAAAACTGATCAAGTTAATGTCTGGTGCCTACAGCAGTGTAGATGCCAGCTGACTCCAGTAGCCTGAGCTGGAGTTCTTGGGTGTCACACACACAGGTGTTACACTCAGGCAGAGTCCCCCACTCACATGTCACATACTCTTGCCCAGATGTCGTGTCTGCAACTTCACATGTTCAAGGCACTAAATCCTTCCAGGAGCAGGTGAAGTGAGACCATAAAGCTGCTGCCTCATGGTGTCATCACCATGTCTGTTCCTAAGCTTATCAGCTGACCTTGACATTCCACTGCCTGCCTGGTGGTGACTGGTCCTGTGTCTTCATAAAGAAAGTGTGTGCTCCCCATACAGACGGGCTTCTGATAAGATCCAAGGTCAATATCTTAGGTGCTGATAATCATCACCCCAAGAACAATGGCTTCCTGGTGCATGTCCCTGAAGTCACTGATTACAACCCGCCCCCTCCGCCCCTCCACCTCCCACCCACCTCTGGTCCTCCATGTTAACATGCTAACCCTTCTGACCAGCAGCAGAAGGGAAGATGGGCGTGGTAGGGCAGGGGGCAGGTGGGGCTGTGAGCAGAAAGGTTGCTGCTCTGAGAGGGGGCTGTGAAATCACACACACTCGGTAAGTCCACCAAGACCGGACTCCCTCAGCTCTTCAGGCATCTTTGGATTAATCAATAAGCTGCAGCCTGGCTGGGTGCCAAGGCAGGATAGACATAGGGGTGGGAGGAATCACAGCTTGAGCCTCAGGGACCTTCCCAGCTCTGCCTGGCTCTCTGTGAGGTCTGGAAGAGGCTCAGTACTTGTGCTGAATACTTGGTGTCTCTTCTCCCTCTCCCGCCCGGAATTTGCACGTGCTGGAGCATCTGCACAAATGGCCTTTTCATCCTTGGAAGATCCCCTCCAACGGTCCCTCCTAGACAGAATCTCTCATCCTCCCCATTGGGAACATGCCGGTCCCCCCTCTATAGGGGCACTTACCACATGGTTGAGCGCAAACCTGTCTGTCTCCCTGCTGGATTTGAGTTCCTGGGCACCTTTGCTTCCCTAGGTGCCGCGGTCCAGCCACGACAGGATCCAGGGGGCCCCGAAGGTGGGCAAGGCGTCGGCGCGGGAGACAGTCGACTACACAGCTCAGAGGCGGTGTGACACTGTTCCGTTTTATTGTGATTTGAGTACAACTTTTATACTTTTTATTTTGGCACTTGATTACACTTTGTTGTTAAGGTAGCAGGGAGTTAAATTTCTGTGGTTAGGCGAACAGAAAATCTTATAGAGTATATTATTATTAATGTTCATGATTAACTAGTACATTTTTCTCTCAATCATTAGAACAGAACTACCTGATGGAACAATCTAAACTTTTAATTCTTATATCTATTACGTAAGATACAGTTTGATTTAAGTAAAGGTGATAGATAGATGTATTCATAACAGCAAGCATTGGCTTGTGGACAGACATTGTTCTTCTTTCTGCCTGAAGAAATCTTTTAAATGCTATTTGATTTATGCTATATCTAAAGTTCAAGCTGAACCTTTCTCATAGCTGTTCAAAAGTTTCCTTGGTGCAGTAATGAGGAAAATATTTATAAAAATCAGTTTTACAAAGCTGCTTTCATAAGCTAAGTTTCTGTTCCTTTGTTTTTAAGCACCAAGGAGATCCTGACCTAGCCAGCCTTTCTATGAAACTTAAACTACTATAAGGCACATGAATTCTATCTTTATTCACTACAT